ATTCTATTAAAACCTTTTAGGAAAAATGCAAATATAAGTAAAGAGCAATAATAGTTTCTATTTTATTTTTAAAATTACCATTGATTGAGTGCTTACTATGTGTTGGACGAGGCAGTCCCCATGAGCCTCTGGGCCTTCTGAGCAGAGACGTCTCAGCCTATTGCATGCCTCATTCCATGTGTCATCTCCTGAGCAGTGATCCCTTCCCATAACTGGAACAGGAACTCCTGTGGATAAAAGCCTGGGCCTCAGCAGTACATGGGTCCACTCCATATTTTGTCTTCACTGATGACCAGCTATGAGACCCTGGGCAAATTATTTTTCTGTGCTTCAGTTTCCTCTTCAACAGTATCGATGATCTGCACCCATGTCTGCATCCAAGGGTGGTGCAGACCCCATGACTAAGTGCATAAATAGCATGGTGCTTGGCATCCTAGCATGGAGACATTCTCAGTAAAACTGGTAATTCATTTTTAGGGTTAAACCTGTTCATTATCTGCATAACATTTGGAGGTGGAAATAGGAGTGCCTTATATAGCCCTGGCGGGATGGATGGTGCCTCCTAATCACCTGTGATTCCCTCCTCTGTTACAGCCCCCCATGGGTGAAGAGGGCAACCACAAGCGACACCCAGTGGCAGCAGGAGGTGGTGGCGGTGAGGGCAGGAAGCGGTGCCCCTCCCAGTCTTCCAGCAGGCCCACCACCGTGATCAGCCAATCCCCCACCCCACCTGCTGGCCCGTCCACCCGGGAAGATGCCAAATGGACAACCCAGCACTCAGCACACTGACTTTGGGAAAGTGAAAACCCCTTGGCCCTGGGGGCTTTGGGGAAAGGGGGATGGGCAAGAGTCCACCCAGTCCCAGGAGAGGGGACAGAGAAGGGACAGGCCTCTAGTCATTAGGATGGGCCTTTGTGCTGAGTAGCAATGTGTACACCTTTTGGGCTATCAGAGGTACCCTGGGCAGGAGCCTCCACACATTCCCTTCACCCTCCTCTCTCCATGACTTCTTCACATCCTAGCTTGTAACGGGGGAGGGAACAGGGGAGATTTTATATATATATATATATATATATACATACATATATATATCAAGTTTTAAATTATTGATAGTTCATTTGGATTACCAAAATCACTCTGTAGCCCTGCCCACGGCGGATAGGCCGCAACCCTAGCCCCATCCCACAGCCTCCTGCTCCCCCTCAAGCCAACTATGCAGCCCACAAGAAGGCCCTGTGGGCCCCATTGCCCAGCACTGTTCCATGGAAGGCTCTGCAGCGCCCCTGGACCCCATGAGCACTGGCCCCTTTATCATCTGGGGCTTGCCATCATCATGTTCCCCCTACTGCCCCGTGCCCTTCCGCCATCTTCCGGGAGAAGGAAACCAAAGGATCTAAAAGTGGAGGTGGGGGAGGTTTTGGCCTCTCCTCACTCCCCTCTTCCCATACCCCTTACTCCCCAGCCCAGAGAGACGCTGCTCATACCAGAAAAGACTATTGAAAGATGATTTATTTTATTTTTCTCTGACCTTATCCTTGGGGAAGAAGGAAAAAAAAAAAAAAGACAAAACCGACCATAAAAGACCAAAAAAAGAAAATCAGAAAACCCCCACCTAATCCACAGCAAGTGATGTTTTTCGCCTACCCTTGGAATTTGTTTTGTGCTTTGAAATAATATTTTTTTAAAAGTTGCCTTATTATGGAGCGGGAATCTGAAATACCCAAATGCCTGTTTTCCTCGGTGGAGTCCACTCAGAGCTCTCACCCTTCTCTGGATGTGCCTGGGCTGGATTGACTAGACTCTTCCTCTGGACTGAATTGCATGTACAGTGCCTCCTGCCTTGGGGGCAAGAGAGTTGGGTTGGCTCGGACGAGAGCCGTGCCCGAATATCCCTGCTGTTGCATCGTTTGAAGCTGATGTCCTGTGTCTACTGCTGCCACTGTCGTGTCCTCGCTCTGCTTGCTGTTGCCTCACACTAGGCCCTGTCCCTGCTGTGATACCCTTCATTCTACCCTTGGAACCCCAAGGCCAAGTTTGCTTCAAACTCTTGGAGAAGAGCGTTGGCCTGGATCTGGGACACACACGTCCTCAGCTTGACCATCTTCCCACTTGAGAGGGGAAAGGTGAACACCTGGCAGCTGAGGCTTGGAAGTGTTCAGTTGCCCTGAAAGATCTTTGAGACTCAAGGAGGCTTTGTCTCATAAAAGGTGGAGAAAAATGCCATTCTCCTCCCTTGGGTCTGGTGGGGTCTCCCCATCTTGCATTCCCCTCTGCAAGCCATCTCTGCCCAGCCTCCAATTGACCCTGCTTGGGAACGAGGGACGAGGAGGAGTTGAGGGCTGGGGAGAACCCTGCCAGTTGGAGAAGCCCCATGGCAGGAAGGTATATGTGGACATAGAGTATACCTGACTTCTCCAGCCACTGACTGCTTGGGTTGGGCTGTGAAACAATGGAATGGCTGGAGTCTACAGGCGTTTGGGGCTTGGGGGGTGGGGGTGATGAAGGACTGACCCTCATGGACTGGGCTGTGTTGGGTGTGGGATGACAATGCATCCACCCCCAGTGGGGACCAGGCAGCACTGAAAAGTTTGTGGTAATGTTGCTCAGTTGCTGACACTTTCTTGGCCCTCTTTTTCAACTCCTTCTGGTGGGCCCAAAGGTTAGGAGTAGGGGACAGTACCCCAAGGCTTGCCTCTGTCTTGGGCACGTCGTTGCTTTTGGCCTGTCCCCTCATCTCTGCCCTCCCAATGGTTAGTGTGTTGGGAAACCCATCTCAGTTCCTGTGACCCGGTTGTCTCAAAAGCCACGGATGAGTGTCTGATCTCCGCTCTGACGGCGGGATCTGCAGCCCTTCCCTGCCCTGTCTGGTGCCCACCCTGTGTTGTACCAGACACTGGACTCCTGCACCCTGGTTTCCTTTGCTGTATCTCCTCTTTGCTTCAGGTTGCGCAGCCCTGTACTGTATCCAGCACCACAGAAACCTCAGTGTTTGTCCTCTGCTGGGTTTGGGGCACAAGGAAGCCTTGGGGGTGTGGGGACAGGCTGTTCTGATCAGAGTTTATTCCCAGGCTAGGGGCTGGCTGCCATCTTCTCCCTGATCCCTCCCCACAGACACCCCAGAAAGAGGAAGCCCCTTTGAGGTGAGGACTTCATCTCAACATAGGCTGAGGATGGGGAGAAAGGAGACTTTTTTTCTTTCTTTTTACTTTTTCTTTTTTTGTAACATGTTAGGAATTGATGTTGCAAAGAGTAGTTTACATCTTCACTTTCTGAAGACACTTGAATTTAGGACCGATGTATCTGTGACAAGCATGCCAGGAGTGGCAGGGGCCATCAGGGCTTGCCACTTCACACCCACCATCCTCTCATGGGGATCCAAGATCTGAGACACAAAATAGCCTGCCCAGATCCTTCTGTTCATCCTGTATCCTTCCAGGATTGGTCCATGCCAACACACCCTTTGTGTGTCGGCCCCGCTCGGGGCACGTTTCTCACCCTCTCCTGAACCTGGGGACAGGTGCACTACCAGCAGAGAGGGGCTGTCGGGCCGAGCCCCAGCCTGGACCCTGGGGCTCAGATCAAGATGCTGAGCCCCATGTCAAAGTTGTGTTCTGTTCTGTTCATTTGTAGCTTCCCTTCCCCCTTTCCTGGTGATTGATTTTAGAAAAGAAAGTAAGCTGCTCAGAAGGCCCTAGAAGTGGGGAGAGGGGCCAGGAGGGCGACCAGCATTGGGGATTTTGCCAAAAGCCTGGGTAGAGCAGTCTGGATCATCTGGCACCCCCCTGAGTGGGACCCCATAGTGCCTCCTGTGTGGAGGGTCCCTGGACTTGCCCCAGCGCCACCCTCTCCTTCAGCCATGTTGACGGCAGCGGCAGAGAAGATAGGAACTTACAGCCCATTTCTCACTGGAGAGGAAAACATGTCACCTGGCTTTGCGGAGAAGGTTCCACCTTATGCTCATAGTACATTATCTTTACCATGTGCTAGGATATCACTTAAAAGGACAAACAATGTAAAATACTTGAATGAGCTTGTATTATAACATTAATATTATTGAGAGTATCTGCTTTCCAGGCTGAAGTGATTCATTATTCTAGTCTGCTTTAGTCCTTTGTAATTTGTGGTAATTATGCTTTTCTTTTTAATACAAAAAAAAACGTATAAAAATAAAAACTTGAAAAGGCACAATACTGGCTGGTCTCCCATCTGGGATACAACTGATGGTTGTGAGGGGTGGAGCTGGTGAGGGGAGAACCCTGCCTGGGCTTCTGGGAAGCCTGCCTGGGGCAGGGGTCCCTTAGCTTCTAAGGCAGCATAAGAGCTGCCAGTCTTGAATTCACCCTGTGTCTTAAGTAAGATGTGGGAGCTACACCAGTGCCATAGAACAGACCAGTCCAACAGCCAGGGTTTCCTGCACCTGCTATGGCCTGGCCCTGAGGGGAGATGGCCAGGAAGGAGAGGGTTGCTGATTTCTCACAGGAGGGTTGGCACTGCCCCTCACTGAACAGACCTGCTGGGGTGTCAAGTTCACCACTGGCCATATGGAGTCCAGGTGAGCCAGTGAGCCTGAGGATTGGTGCTAGGCAGGAGCCCCCACCCGCATCGGGACTGGCCTCGGGGGCTGTTAGTGGCTTTTCCCCAACCCGTGAGGCCAGCCTCGGGCAGTAGTATTCTGAATGAGGCCAGCCTCTGGCAGTAGTATTCTGAATGCCAGTCGGTCCTAGATGTATAGTCACAAAACTAAAAATAAGTTCTGGCTTTATTTACTCATTCATCTGGCAACTGTGTCCCATGCCTGCTTTTCCAGAGAATTCCACCAGCCAGCAGGTGGGCAGGGAGCAGGAGATAGTGGCCAGCTTGTGCAGACTGGTTCAGACAGGAAGGCGGTTAATGCAGCCTCACTCCCACACCTGTTGGGAATGCTTGCGAAAGAGGCCCGTAGCTCCGAGAAGCCATGTGATTGTGAGTTGTGCAGTGGCAAGAAAAACTGCAGTGGCTAATGGAGTTAAAAGGAGACCAGTTTATTTCCATGCTTCCTCCTCTCACACATTTTCTGCTGCAAATCTGAGACCTCAGCCTTTGCTTGAGCCTTATTTATTTACCAACTTTAGGGCCCTTTAGTTTTGTGCAGAAGAGGACAGGGCTGGCCCCCTCTGCCAGGGCCCACCCACTAGCCTGTCAAAAGCGGTGAAAGGTGGACCGCCTGCCTCTTACCCCCCAGGTGCCCCTTCGGAACTTCTGAATCTCAAGGTCTTAAGGGAAAAAATGTTTCCACTCTTTCTCCATGTTCCTCATTTCCTGACCTTTTTAAGGGTATTGGAGGTGGGCTATTGTCTGAACGTTTATAAGTCCCAGGTTGTGGGTGCAGGCTAGTGGCTGTGAGGACTTAGCTAAGGATATAGGTCACCCGCCAGGTGCACCAATTCTTGAGGTGGATGAGTGGATGGAGCTTTGCCAGGCCAGGGAAGATTCTACCTGGGAAGTGTCCAGTCGGCCCATTAGGTAGGTCCTCTGGATTCCTAGTGCTGATGGGTCTGCCTGGGGACTTGCCCTTAGCAGATGTTTAATATTTTATAAAGCTACTGTGTGTGGTTATCTTGACATATGAGAACTGAAAGTTCAGGAATAGGCCCAATTATGTGGAAGCATTTGGTAAGTGATGATGGCGGCCTCGAATCAGAGTGGTCAGATTGTTCTTGGGAGCCACCGGGCCCCTGGCAAGACCATGGCTGCTGAGGGCAGGCAGAGTGGGGATTGCTCCCACCCCAGCAGCTCTGTGTTTTTGTTTCAGACAAGCTTCCTGGTAAGATTGCATTTGAAAAGGCATCACTGCTAAAACAACTGAGTAATCATTTGGGGAGGGAAATGAGGATTTTGCCCTTTGTTCAGCCATGTTTTTCGTGCCTTCTCATTGGAGAAAGAGGGTTCTAGCCCCTGGCCCTGCTTCAGAGAGTCTAGTTAGGTGCTTCAGTCAAGTGTCCCCAAATTTTGACCCTTCCCTCTGGGTTAAAGGGCCCCAGTTTAGCAGGTCCACAGGGTTTGGCCTTTGGTTTCCAGGTTTGGCTGAAGGTACTGGCGTTTGGTCTGCACCCGTGGTGTCAGCTGTAATCAGGGAGGAGCTTCGATGTTATTTTTGTTTTCAGAGAGGGCTGACGTTTGTTTGCAATGGGTCAGAGGTAAAGGGGGGGCCTTTGTCACTGACACTGTTTGGGAGGGGCAAGGGGGACTTGACCCCTACCACTATTGCCAGGCTGCCTGGCTCTGGCCTGAGTAGGGTATGAGAGAAGTTTGGGGGACAGAAAAGGGGGAAAGTGCTCTCTTCTGGCCCCCCCAGCCCCCAGCAGCAGAAGGGGCTCTCTGGAGCCACACAGGCTCCAGTGTGGCTGCCACCTGTCATTAGCTACATCTTGCCTACGCAGTCATCCGGGCCCCTCTTTCCTTTCACAGCAGAGGACCGTAGGGACTGGTCATTGTGGGGAGCTGTTTCTTCCTCTTCCTTAAGCTAACTCCTGGTCCCCTGGAGGGACAAAAGGGGCAGTCAGGGGAGCCTTGGCCCTGCATTTCCTGGAAGCCAGCCTGCCCCCGCCCTCGCGGTGCTATCTTTAGTGCCAGGCTGAAGAAGTAAGTTCCCAGGTGTGGTCAGGAGGCCTCAGGCCACCTTAGCAGTCCGCTGCTGAGGGGACAGCCAGGATGGCACTCAGGCCCTCTCTCACTCCATCTTTGGGGGGTCGGGGATACTCTCAGAGAGTGGGGTGAAGCCTAATAGGAGGGTGTGTCTCTCGTAGGCCTTGGTCTGCTTGAACACGGTGTCTGTCCCATGGAGATGGTCCAGCACCCCCAGCACCCCATAGCACTGGTTGAACCTGGAGGAGAGAAGAGGATGCTGGAGACCTGTGTGCTGGCCTCGTTTGTGCCAGCCTCCCACATTTCTAAGCCCTCCTATCCCCCTCCCCATCCCTCCCCTCCACGCTGACCACCTGCATCAGAAAACCCAGGGGAGATGGGGCACACTTGCCTAGGGCCATCCCAGACTGGAAATCTGAGCTTCCTTTGAAAAGCTCTTATTGTGATAGGTATGCACACAAGTCACAACCTGTGGCTGAATCAGAACCCCCTGGAACACCCTTTAAAATGCAGGTTTCCACCCTAGCTGGTTTGGCTCAGTGGATAGAATGTCGGCCTGCAAACTGAAAGGTCCGAGGTTCGATTACGGTCAAGGGCACATGCCTGGGTTGTGGGCTCGATCCCCAGTGGGGGCCCTGCAGGAGGCAGCCGATCCATGATTCTCTCTCATCATGGATGTTTCTCTCCCTCTTCCTTCCTCTCTGAAATCAATAAAAATATATATTAAAAAAAACACACACACACAAGCACAAATGTAAAAAAAAAAAGAAAAAAAATGCATATTTCCAAGCCCTGCTCCTCCCTCCCCCTAGACACTTTGATTCAGCGTATTCAGAGTGGAAACCAAGAGCCTGCACTTGTGAAGCACATCTCAGGTGATTCTGTGCAGGGGCCTCCCAGACCACATGAGAAAGCCTGGAAGCTTTCAGTGCACAAGTCTCCTTGAACTGCATGCAGGGTTATGTATGGATGCATTTTTCCGACAGTGCCCTAGCTTATATTGCATACTCAGGGTCCAGGACCTAGATAAAGGTTAAAATCCCAGTTGCAGGAAGATCAAGTATCAGAAGGAACGAGCAAGGTGGCCTGGGGTCCAGCATGGTCATTCTCCCCACCTCCAGACCTCTGCGTCCACCAGCGCCACGTGTAAACGGAGACACCGGTGTCTGCCAGCAGAAGTAGAGGTGGAGGTTACTGACCCACAGTGGGCCAGGGAGTCTTACTTGAGATGGTGATAGTCATGGAATTCAGGTGAAGGCAGAAAGGGTAGGTGGTAGCCACAGTGGGAGATGGTGGTGACGATGAGAGTCAAGGAAAACCACACCATGATGGAGGACAAGTGGGAGCCCATGACGATGGGCCCCACCATCGCCGGCAGCATGTTGGAGACCTGCAAGGGAAGGGCTGTTGGAAGGTGGGCCCCAGGGAGATGGAGGGGACCTAGGTGGGTGTCCCCTTTGCCCCAGGGTGGTACCAGGAAGACTTCCTTGACTCAGGTCTGGAGAATCTGAAAGTTTCAAGACCCTGGTTTGCTGGAATCACTCACCTTTGTATCTTGGGACAAGTTATTAATGGTTTGAGCTTCAATGTCTTCATTAGTAAAATGAGGATTAAAAGGGTTCTTGGGAAGATTAAATGAGATAACTTACGATGGGCATCTAGGATAGCCTGGCATATGCTAAGTCAACAGTAAGTGCTGGTTATTTAATGAATGGGGAGCGGGAGGGGCGGTGCGGTCTGGTTCTCGGCAAGAGACCGAGGGAAGGTGGCTGGCCTGTGCCCTTGGTTCTGGGGCCCGAGCTCTACTCACCACATGCTCCACGGGGTGGGCGTAGAGCGAGATCACGCCAATGGGAGCTGTCCACTCGTGGTGTTTCTTATGGATTTTCTTGTAGAACATTGGGTGGTGAAGGAGCCTGGAAAATAGTTCATAGTTCATAATCTGCCACCCGCCCTTCCCCTTTTTCCCACAGACCACGAGAAACCGAGGTGTAGGCCCCAGGCGTTAGGTCTGTGGAGCAAGGCTGAAAACACACAGACCTGCCTTTGAGTTCAACCCCACCTCTTACGCTGCACACAAGAGTGGGAGTGGCTTCCTTTGCCTCTGTCCACCTCAGCTGTATTAGCTGTAAAATGGGGATGATGCCCGAAAGGGTTCACTAAGGAAGTGAATGCGAAAAGCCCCAGGAATGGAGAGGCTTTCTTTTCTGGACATTCTCGGTTGTTCTCGGTTGTCAGCTGTGGACAGATGTCTCCCTGTTAACTGCTGGGTGGGAGGCTTTGCAGGCAGGTGGTGGAGAGTGAGGTGCCAGCTGTGCCCGGCGGCTGCTCACCGGTGTGAGTAGTAGAACATGATCTCCTCGATCAGCGTGAAGATGGCCAGCTCCAGGAGGAACCAGTGGAAGGTGGGCAGCTCTCGGCGGCAGGGGTCCCTCCACAGCTTGAGTGTGGGGTAGAGGAGGACCACGATGGGCAAGGAGATCAGGAACTGGTTGAGCAGAACTGTGCGGACGGACTGGCGCAGTTTCACGGGGTCCACCTGCCCGAGGAAGAAGGAGGGAGAAGGGACAGCATGAGATGTAGGTCTTTTCCTTCTAGAAAAGCTCTGCTGTGACCTGCTCACAGGAAGCCCTCATGCAGAGGTGGATGCTCGGGGTGATGTCCGGCCGTAGCTGGCAGCTCCTGATGGCTGCCCCGCCCTGGGTGGAACCAGCTGGCAGGGCCTCTCCCGCAGCCTCGGTCTCTGCCTGAACCTGCCTTCTCCTTCCTGGTGCTGCACCTGTCAGCACAGTGGGGCTGCCTGAGCATCCTCTCCAAGGTCACTGACGGCAGCCAGCATTTCCCCAGAATCAGTAGCCCCAACACTCCCTTCCTCAGAGCACTGGGGGTCCCAGGAATAGCCCCATAACCACGGGCCACTTCCTGGATCTGACAAGCTGGTGTAAGATTGGCCAGAAGGGATTCCTCCCGAGTCCCCTCTGCAAGCTGTAGGGGCTGCTTCCTGAAGGTGAGTGAGCCTGGGTTCATGGTGGTCCTCAGACTTTTGGCCTTCCCCTTCCTCCAGCTTTTCCAGGTACTACATCATCAAGAGATGATGATCTGTGGTTATTTTAGGAGATGCAACCTGAGGACTTAGGGTGAAATGTTATGATGTCTGGAACTTTCAAATGCTTAAGCAAAAAATTATAGAGGCACAGGTATATACACTTTTATATATTGAAGGAGCAAATGTAAAATGTTTAAAACTGGTGATGTGTAAATGAGTGATTATTGTACTACTTTTGTATATATGTCTACATTTGTTCATAATTACAAAATGTTGGGGGGAAGAGTGGACAGAGAGGAAGTAGAAACTGCAAAGACTTTTGCTGCAAAGGAGAGCAAGAATGAGTGGTAGTGTGTGTAGAGACGGGGTCAAGGGTTTTTGTTTGGTTTGTGGGTGGTTTTTTTTTTTAAATTCTCACCCGAGAATATATATATTGATTGTAGAGAGGAAGAGAGAGAGAGAAACATCAATTGGTTGTCTCCCATATGCACCCCGACTGGGGATCGAACCAGCAACCTGGGGATGTGCCCTGATTAGGAATCAAACCCGCGACCTTTTAATGTACAGGAGGATGCCCCAACCCACGGACCCACCCTGCCAGGGCTGGTTTAGTGTTAAGATGGAAAAAATTACAGCATGTCGATAATAATCATGAGAGGGATAATCTAGGAAAGTAAGGGGACAGAAGATACATTGAGCCCTGGCGGGTAGCTCAGTTGAGAAGAGCATCATCCCGATACTCCAAAGCTGTGGGCTCAGTCTCTGGTCAGGGCACATACAAGAAGCAACCAATGAATGTATAAATAAGCAGAACAACGAATCGATGTTCCTCTCTCTCCCCCTATAAATCAATCAATAAAATAATTTTTTTGAAAGAGAAGGGAGAAGGGAACAATTTCCTGGGGTGAGCAAGCGGTACTGCCTGTGGTTCACAGCTCCTGGGGGAACGGCTGTGACAGGAGCAAGAAGAGCTCCCGTGGCAGCAGGGGGAAGGCAGAGCGTGTGCCGGAGTCTGCGGAAGCTTCCCTCCGCTTAGTGAGGAGGAAGCAAGGCTGTCCTGCTCCAGGAGCTTAGAGGAGGAAAGAGGAGAGGTGGAAACTCGCCATCCAGGAGAGTAAGCAGATCAGGCCGGATCTCATGAATGGCTGCAGCATTCAGGCGTCACTGGAGGATCTGCTTCTGGTATCTTGAGTGAGGGATCAGGCCTTTCTGGAATCGGCCAAAGACTACATGGCCTCCGGGGCCTCCTTCTTACTTGTGTGTCTACCTGAGGATGCGCACAGTGTAGGAGCGTGGGGCCTGGAGTCAGGGAAGAGGAGCTCTGGCTCTGTTTCCTGGGAACAGTCTGACCCTGACCGAGTTGCCGCTCCTTTCTGAACCTCAGCTCCTGCTAAATGCGACACCTTCCCGTGGGCTGTGCGATCACTGTAGCCAGAGGTGTTGCGGGTTAGGTGATATTCTTGAGTGCTGATGCGGTCTGTGGTTAGCAGCGTGAGCCGCTGTGTCAGAAAGCTTGAGTGTGGATCATGGTTCTGCTCGTGTCATGTCTCAAAGCCTCCGCTTTCTCATCTGAACCATGAAGGTTATGAGAGTGGGTGGCCTGTCAACGTGCAGGTGAAGAGACCCCCAGCACCTGACAGAGGAGGGGCTCTCAGTGGCCAAGCGCTGGCTTTGACATAGAGGCTCGCCCTGGCCACCGTCCCTCCTGGGCCAGCGGTGAGGATTTTGAGAGCGTGGCTTTAGCCCCTGCTTTCTGGGCTGTGACGGGGTGGAACTGGGGCAACTCTTACCGGGTCATTCTTGCCAGCCTGAATCCGGTAGCGGGAGATGAAGCTGGGTTTCCCGGTGGTGTCAACCACCAGTAGGAGCCCGTTGAAGGTCCAGAATGACAGGACAGGCAGGTAGGTGGCACCTAAGGTTGAAAAGCAGAGGGGACAAGCAGGGCGACTTCAGGTTCTCAGGGCATGTGCATTAACTGACCACGTACGTGACAGTGACCCAAGCGGCATGGTGGACAGTCACCTTTAGTGACAGACTAGCTGAGGGGAACTTGGACAGGCCACTTAAGAAGTGTCTTTAGCCCTAGCCGGTTTGGCTCGGTGGATAGAGCGTCGGCCTGCAGACCGAAGGGCCCCAGGTTGATTCCGGTCAAGGGCACATGCCTGGGTTGTGGGCTTGGTCCAACATGCAGGAGGCAGCCAGTCAATGATTCCCTCTCATCACTGATGTTTCCATCTCTCTCTTCCTCTCCCTTCCTCTCTGAAATCAATTAAAAAAGAGAGAGAGAGAGAAGTGCCTTTACTTATTTTCGTAGTTTTACTACAGGGATAACCATCTAGACCAGTGATGGCGAACCTTGTGAGCTCGGCGTGTCAGCATTTTGAAAAACCCTAACTTAACTCTGGTGCCGTGTCACATAGAGAAATTTTTTGATATTTGCAACCATTGTAAAACAAAGATTTATATCTTTAATATTTATTTTATATATTGAAATGCCATTTAACAAAGAAAAATCAACCCCAAAAAATGAGTTCACGTGTCACCTCTGACAGGAGTGTCATAGGTTCGCCATCACTGGTCTAGATGGTTAAAGACATTTATATACTCTAAAACAGGGGTCCTCAAACTACGGCCCGCGGGCCACATGCAAATACAAATATTGTATTTGTTCCCGTTTTGTTTTTTTACTTCAAAGTGTACATAGGAATTTGTTCATAGTTTTTTTTAAACTATAGTCGGGCCCTCCAACAGTCTGAGGGACAGTGAACTGGCCCCCTGTTTAAAAAGTTTGAGGTCCCCTGCTCTAAAATATAAATCAATTTAGGTTGACATTTCGAGTGTGGGCCCAATGAACTCTTTGTTTCCAAGGAAGAAAGCAGCAACAGAAGGTATGGTCCGGTCCCCGGTGAGCACTGGACTGGGAGTCCATCGAGGACCTAATCCCTATTACCCTACTGACTGAGTGAGTAGTGCGACCTCAGGCGTCCGCCCGGTCAGCGTTTCCTAACGTGGAAAACCCCTCTCTCAGGGGCACCATGGTTACTCAGACTTCATAGCCTGCTCTCCTGAAGACTCAGGGTCCAGCCTTGTGTGTTCACGGCTCTGACAATTCCTGCAGCAAAGAAACCTGATTGATTTTGTCAAACCCAACCTTCCCCCAGGCTTTTTTTTTATTTTTTTAACCCTAGAGCTTTGTTTTCTCTCAGAGCACCTAAGAATAAGCCCTGGTCGGTAGCTCAGTTGGTTAGAGCATCATCCTGATATGCCAACGTTAACATCCAGCCCATTTTCAGATGAACACAAGGGACGTTTTATTTGTACTTTTGCTTTGTGACAACGGAGACTTTTTTATCTCCCGTTTCTAGGCTGTGAGGGCGGTTTTTGATGGGGTAGAGCAACACTGTATCTTAAATATCTCTACATCTTCCATACAAGTTTGGCACGGAGGAACATGAATAAGTTATGTGATTGGACGGGGACATTCACTCTTGTAGATAACGCTGTGGTAAATCGCTGACATGGCTTTTCCTTCCACAGTGTTCTCTCAGGCTCGTTTTGAGTCATTCACACTGTCAGTAAATATTTGAGTGAGGCTTGCTCTCCAGCCCCAAGCTAGATGGCACCAAGTACAAGGACACAGCCTCACATGACATGGAGAAGCTGTCTGACATCTAAAAGCACGAGTATTGCTCTGAACATGCCTTCATTTTCACACAAACTCTCTTTTCTATTTTCGGGGAGACGGAGGTCTCCTGTTAGGTATCTGTGGACATCCATTCCAGGTTCCCCGAAAGCTGAGATCTCTTGGGGGTTACCACTGACTTAAATTTAAGTCCTTATTCCTTGTAATAATGAGCCGAGAAGTCCCAAAGTAGAGAACAAGACCATCGGAAAAGGAACGATAGTCGTGAAGCCAAGCTCTCGGGGCGGGTGGTCTGGGAAGCTCACCTGTCACAAAGAGGACCCACTCCTTCCCTTCGAAGGTGAGCAGCAGCCTCTCCCACTGGGCTTGCCAGAAGTGGCCAGAGGCACCCCAAAATCTCTGAAGATGCCTTGGGGGAAAAATCAGGTTCCTGGGTGAAGACTGGTGGGCGCTCTCACCCCAGACCTCCACCACCTGCCCTCAGGTCCGACAGACTCACCACGTGAGGGAGTTCCAGATGGCCACCAGCAGGAGAAGGCCGGAGCCCAGGATGAAGGCGGTCCTCCTCATGGAGCCCCAGATGTGTCCCTCCTGGGGAGGGCAAGGCAGCGTCAGGGCCCGGCAAGCCTGCGCCCGCACCGCCCGCTGCTGAAGCTGGCAGGAGTGAGCAGGATCTCCACCACGCCAGCACCACGACCTTTTCCCACTTTCTAGGAGAGGCTCATCCTTATCAAGAGCCCTGCGCTGTATATGGGTGTGTTTATGAAAATTACAGCTCAAGGTTGGGGGGAAGGCGGGGAGGGAACCAACCTGACGGCACAGAAACTGGCAGGCGATTCTGTCACCCAGAGGAAGGCAGGCGAGCCTTCCAGCAGCTGTGGGCTTTTGTCACCAGTCCTCCCGTGGAACAGGGATGCCCATTACGTAGGCATGGGAGTCACCTGGGAGCCCTTTAAAAATTCCAGGCCCCTCCCAACCCAGTTATGCAAGATCCTCCCGGGTGGAGGCTGGGCCTTCAGGTTTTTAAACGCTCCCCAGCCAATACCCAGGCCAGGAGGGTCATCCCAGAAGGCCCTGCAGAACCCTTAGTGAGGACACCGGGACTTCACTGAGCCAGGGCCTAGTTTCCCATCCCGTCACCCGCTTGCCCTGGAAGAAAAGAGTAAGTGAACATATGTTCTGACTCTTAACCCCTCGTCCTTCCAGCAAATCTAGCCAAGGTTGCCAGCTGGACAGGACAATGGGCAGTTCTAGGGGCAAAGAGCACACCACTGGCAGCCACTGGGTCCTCAAGAGCCCAACGCGGGGATCGTGGCAAGCCTGATGCGCACACAAGAGGGTCCCAGACTTGGAGAGGAGACGCACTGGCGCCAGGTGAGTCAGTTTCTCCTGCACCGAGGACAGGATTACAGACATCCCTCACGTGCCATGCTGCTAAGCCCGAGGCGTCTGCTCAGATCTTCCGTGGGGAGAACTGAGGAGCCGGGCCCCGAGCACCTGGGCCACCGGCACTGTGTGAGCTGGGCCACGCACCAAGGGTCGGGGTGCTGTGGGGAAGGGAGGGTCGAATAGGACACTTCATTCTCATCCAGACTTTTGGATCTAAAGGAGCAGATTGTTTTGATGGATCCATTCAGAGCAACCTGAGTCTGCACTGAATCATTTCTTCTCCGCTTACCCATCCCACCTTTGATCAAAAGACCAACAAACAAACAAAACAGGTCATTGTCCAGGGCCAGTGAAGAGTTCAAGGGCTAGTGCTCATCAGGGACTTGAGCTCTGGAAGTGAGCTTTCCTCGCGCTCCCCCGCCCTCTCCTTCCGCGAGGGCTGGGCCCACAGGACCAGGACTTGTTCTTTAGCGCAGGTGCTCATTGCAAGGTCACCCCGAGCTCGCAGGTGCTCATTGCGAGGTCACCCTGAGCTCGTCAGAAGGGTTGCCTGGGCTTTTGCAATGATTCCTTCTCTAGGACTCGGAGGACCCTTCTCTTGAACTTCTCCAGACTCGCTAGGAATTGTTCATTTGAGTTTAATCAAATCAAGCTAAGTCAAAGTGAAAACCTCAATTTCACATTCAGGATTAGGTGTTTTTTCCCAGGGATTGTGGCGGTTTCTCTCTCCAGCAGCCCAAGTGGAGGGATGATAAACAGAAGCATGTAGTGCTCAAGATCGCTGGGTCGAGAGCTGGTTCCCAGTTCCCGTTTCCAGTCCCCAGTGGGCCTCTCTCCTCCCCAGAGCGGTT